AATGTAAACAAATTATGACAGGATTACTATTTCAGGAAGTTCACCAATAATTTGATTCCACTTTGATATTTTGAAAAAATTTGTTAGAAACTGCATTTTTTCCCTCTAGGTTTATTTACACTAACTTTTCTCTAAATTTTATAGTCCGTAGCTTATGAGAAATCATTTAATAAGAAAAAAAAAACAAATTTAACTTCTGGCATTCTATAGAAGAATGGAAATTCGAGAACTTATTATTTTTTTTTTGAGAGGGGAAGATTTTTTTATCCTTGATGCTCATTGTAATCACTGCAGTACTGCTCTTGAAGAAATACCAGGAATCACATGGAGCGTACTGTAAGCTTTTCCACCAATAATGTAGCAAGTAATATCTCTTAGTTAACTTAACCCTTTCTTTTTTCCATGCAAACGATTTAAAATTTCAAAGCAAATCTAATAAAAAGTCAACTGAAATTATTTTTTAAAAATTTTGGTATTGTTTTATTATTAGAATATCAAGGGTAATTTAAAAAATATTGGTTAGTTTTTGCTTAAAAAAAGAAAGCCTTATTTTAAAGAATATTTAGATAACAAGAATACAGCTTTAATAAATTCACAATTTTGTTAATTCAAAAGTCATTACCAAACTTGGGGCTCCGAATCAAAATATTAATCATGATGATAATCAAATTATTTAAAATAAGTGAGTGAAGATTATATTATCAGAACTGCCTTCAAAAAGGAGGTCCCCTCTTCCTCTAGCTTATTTTTTTATGAAACCTATGTTCCTTTAATTTTCTATTGTTTTTGTGCTTTTAAATACATGGCACAATTTGTAATAGGTTCTGGTTTGAATTAAATTATCAAAAGTATTCAATTCAGATAGATAAATGTTAGTTAATAAAGAAGCTTATGATTATTGTGGTTTAAAGTTTACAAGAGTTCTTATGAAGGCAACCTGCTAAATCCTTTTAATAACTTATCTTTAAAAAAAACATAAATTATCAAATAAATAATTTCAAGGAAATCTTAATTACTTTTAAGAATAAATTATAAACGTGAATATATAGAACAATATGTTTAGGACTCTGGAATTGCTTGACGTGTTCAATACCAATTTTTTAGCTTGGAACTTGAAATTTAATTACATGAGAATGACCCTTAATGGAAAAGTATGATAAAATTTGTTTTAGTATAGATTTCAAATAGTTGTAAGAATCCAATTTTTTCTTCTTTAGTACCAATTCATATAAGTTAGGGAACAATGAGTCAATCAATGAATTTGGGAAAAATAAGTTGTACAAAATTATTTTATCAACGAAGAATTTTTTGTTGTTGAAAAAGTGTTTTTTGATGCTAATTCACCAAGAAAACTGGAAAGGCAGCAATTTAAATGCCTTACACTGGAAGCAAAGCTTTAATTTTAAACTACTATACCAAAAAAACTACTATACTGAAAAAAAAATAGCTAAACTTTAGAACATAAGAATGACTTAAATATTTTAGAAGTTATTAAACTTTTCAAATCAATATACCATATACTATTTATACTACTGATTCGACTAGAATTTGCCCCAAATAAAAATTGGCAAAATCAAAGAATAATTCTAAGTTTTTGGCAAGAACTGGAGTAACTGTCTAAACATTAAAAAATTAGAATGAATGCTTTTCATTTAAAAAAAAATTGTGGACATTTATGACTATTTTTAGAATTAGCATCGATTGTGGTGATAGATAAACCTAACCTGTCACAAAAAAAAAAAAAAAACTGTTGCATATTCATAGCATTTATGAAAATAAAATATACTTAGCAAAAAAGAAAATTCATATGATGACAGAGCCATGAAAAAATAGCCTTGAATTGGAAAAGTCCTTTGATACGTACATCAACAATTATTGTAACTTAAGAGATTTTCTGATTATTAAACCTAAATTTGAAAGTTTCACAATTTGATAACTACTATAATTTAAACAACACATTAGGTATCAATTAAAATACAACAGTCATCAATGGCTGCCAACTTAAATGGTCTTTGGGAAAAATTTTATAAAACGGTTAAAAAATAATTAAAATATGAAGAATATTCTAAAATATAAATTACTTCTTTAACACTAAAAAAGCGTAACAGCCAGGCTAATGCACCCAAATTGCAATGAAAAGTAAAATTTTTGTAGGGAAAAAAAAATAAGTTCTACATTAAGGTACAGTTACTAATAAAAATTGCTGGATTATAAAATCATCTGCTTTTTAAATTAAACATGCAATAGCGAAATCGTAGAATCTTTAAAATTTCAAAATATGCTAAACCTATCCCTTTATGAAATCATGATTGCCATTTAGTAAAATCAAATTTTTGTAGGACACGTTTAAAATAATTAAAAAAAAAAAATCTGCTTTTTCATTTATAAATAATTTTCTCTTTTATCGAGATATGAAAGCATTTAAATAACAAATTTGTGCCCCCTAGGAACAAAGTTACAGGTGTGGTTACAAAGTTACACTTTTTATGAAAATTGAGTTAAATTTTTTTTTATGAAACTTGCAAAATAAAGAAAACTAAATTAAAACTATTTAGGAATTAAAAACAATTTATAGAATGTCTACCCTCGTTCAATAACAGTAATCACACATTCAATTAGGTGCCAGAACATTGCTTGATACTTTAAAGTGAACTTTACAACTAAGAAAAGGAAATAATGAAAGTTAAATGCAGTCAGTAAAAATAAAATATAGTAATTTCATTTTTACAGTACTTAGTAAGTTTAATGCTGAAAATATTCCCCTCAAGTGTAGACATTACAGTTTTTAAATCTGCCACATTGTAATCATTTAGAAAAATTATAGATTAGATGTAGAAATTATAGATGTAAGTTGCAATAACCTGTAACTAGCAGAAATAATTTTTTAAAATTAAATATTGCTCATTGATAGAAATTTTAAGAGTTCTAGTACTTTTCAATGATTCCTGTCAATAGGTATTCTGATAATGACAGTTGTGTTATTTTGTGAAATGTAATTCTTCAAATATAAATAGAAAAAAATATATCTGAAGTGCTGATGTAGTTAAGTTAACAATACAAAAAATTTCAGTGTAAAATAGTCCATATTTAAAATGTAAGGTTTTGAAAATTTTCATTATCACAGCCAATTGATTAGTATTTTGAAAATGCAAATAGAAATAACAAATTTAGTCTTTAAATATCTAGTTAAATTGTCAACTCAGATTTCAGTTTTGAATGTTATATTTCATGCCTAATAATTTTTTTTTTTTAATTAAGTAGATTTGAAATTTTTAGTAAAATTTTGGTAAAGATAATGTAATTTATAAAGTTGGGCTACAGAAAAAAAAAAACATCTATTCCTTTGATTGAAAAATTTAGCATAATCAAGTGCATTCAGATTTCAATAAGGAAAAAATTTAATAAATTTAAAACTTTGAATAAATTTCATTTCTTTGACTAACTTTGAAAAAAACAAACAACTTAATTGCTAAATATGTTATTTAAAGAAATGGTTTTTTCAAATTCTAGAAAAATGATGCACTATCTTACAATATTTCAACGAGATGTTTCAAAGTCTTCTGTAAAAGTTAGGAGAAAAAGCTATTTAAAAATTATATATTTAGGAAACACCAATATGAATGAAGTTTCATATATATTGCATTAATAATCGTAAAAGAAATACAGTTTTAGAAAGTTAAATGTATTTTATTATAAAACATAAAATAAAAATGACAGATTCAGTTTGATATTTTTAATGTACTAAAATTAATAAAACAAATGAGAAAACCAATTAAAAAGTTATCAATTCCTTACAAATCATTTGAAAAAAAAATTCCTGATATAAATACCATAACTGCAAAGCTATCATAACACAAGATAAATCATTTAAATGCAGCTTCAAAAGTGTAACTATAATTGGGGAAAGACAATATTCATAAAAACATCTGAAGTTGGATGCAGACTAATTTCAAATATCTAATATGAAAAGAACTGATACAGTTCTTGTTCTTTCCATGGATAAAATCCAGGGACCAGGCTAGAAAAGTACATGTACCAGGGTCCATAGCAGATATAGCTTTTTCTAACATACTATATACATAAGTATTCAATTCCAAAAACAATCCAGCGAATGATATTAAGAGTACTTATTTTAAGTCTGGCTAATGCCAGCGATAAACAGATAACTGATTTTCCCAAATATACATTTCCATATTAAAGTATTGGATACATTGATACTATATTTAAAGCTCTATGGATATTTTAACAAACAATCACAAGCAAAACATGAAAAGGGCGTATTTATGTGTTATTAAATCAAAAAGATTTTTATTTCAATCTTTAGATTTTTGTGTGAAACATGTTACTGTAAGAAATATTTTGCAAAAAGGCCACAAATTAAATAAGGGAGAAGGACATTTATTTTTAACATTTTATAAAAATATTAATTCCTGAATCTAAAGGGTTTGATTTTGAATATGGTTTGAAATGTTAAATTTAAATCTTCAAATAAGTTATAATTTACTTTTGCAATAATTACCTATTACTAAAAGACAATTAATTCAGGTCAAATAATGTGAACTAACGGAAATAAAAATTAGCTTACAATTAAAATATCAAATTTAAAAACTTCTAAGATTTTACAGAATTTAATGTTTATTTAGACACTTTTTCTCTCTCTCTAAACTGTACTGTTCTAAAATTGAAACAATATTTTTAGCATTTGAAGGTGAAAAGAAATTTTTTTAAACCAAAATGAGACTTTTTTCTCAAATATGAAAATTTTTACCAAATGCCATCGAACCAATTTAATTTTGAAACATTTTTTATATCCCCTTTATATTCATTAGTAAATTTCGAAAAGATCAATATTTCACTAACAAAAGTTAGTATTTAAAGGTGATCAGCTTTTTACAAAATTTCAATATTTTAAAAACTTTTCATCAAAGAACATTCCGTATAAAAGTTTTTTGAGAATGGCAAGATAGACATATGTAAATAATTAAAACCAACATTTCAAATTAAGGCTACAAATATCTTTAATGCATAATTGTGTGTAAATTTCCATAAGTAATATTAAAACAATACAACAGTGATTGAAAGCTGTATTGCAAATTTTACAGATGAACACTAAAAGTTAAAATTATCTTCATTTCATTGATGAAAAAATAATTAACAGAACATTATATTCCAGATACAAATAAATACTCCCTCCTCATTTATATACAATATTAGCATGCACAGTTATCAGATTTAGATTTATTTTCGTTATTGGTGAGCTTGATTTGGTCAGGAAAATCATTGAACAACTCAGCATCTTGTTCTTGGGCTAATGCCTTCATAGCCACTGCTTGGAATGCCTGCTCAACATTAATAGAATCCTTAGCGCTAGTCTCAAAGAATGGGATGTCATTCTTGCTCTGACACCAACTCTGACCTCTTTTGGTGGTTATCTAAAATAAATAGGATTATTTTAACTAAAATAATAAAACAACTAAAATTTTAGTTATGTATAAATTCTACAATAAAAATATATTTATCCAACAGTTAAAAAATTACTGACATTAGTAAAAAATTGTATCTTGTTATGAACCTTGGGGGAAAAGAGTGGCAATTTGTGAAAAAGACCTTGCACTACTTTGTAATATATAAAATAAAATCAAATCGCATACATTAAACAAAAAAAACAAAAAAACAACAACATATAACTAGATTCGTATTGAACTAATGAGAAGGAAAGTAAGAACTTCTCAAGAAATTATAGCCTCAACATTATAAACTAAGGATTAGAAAAATACATAAAAAAAAATTATTGCTTAAAAAAACAACAAGATTAAGCAATTTTTTAAATAACACATGCATTAATAGCTTAGTAAAAGTAAGCATTAATGTGCATGAGGAGAAATAGCAGATAAAAAAAAAATAATAATAAAAAACTTCTACGGATAGTTTTTAGCTACTTTTATAGTAAAACCTCTCTCAATTTTAATGAAACATGTTATCCTAGGCATCTAGTCAGTGAAAACAGAAGGGGATGAAATTAATTATATAGCTGTAATTTATTTCCACCATTATGGAAAATTGGGAGGTTAAAAATTAACTCAAGAAAATGTTTCTGAAGAGTAAAAAACTATCACATTTTTTCACAAAGAAATTACTTAAAATTTTATTTAAAAACTTCATATTTTATGTGCAGACTAGCAACAAATTTTTTTTTTTACTGACAGTAAAATTGTACAGGTTAGAACTTACATTTTGAAATATTATTCGTGATATTTTAGAACCTGAATTAATTGTATTCATAATAACTTTTTACATATAAACTAAACAAGTTTTTTTTCTGTTTTTAACTGCTTTTTACAGAAACTAACTTTATGTTTGCTGACTGGGAAACAATGTTAGAATTCTTATAAAACAGCATTGCAAATGTGAGAACTGTTTAGTACAAAAAGAAAAAGCAAGACAGTAAGTTAAAAAAACATTAGCTCACGAAAAACAAAAATGTACTGTTAAGGACACAAAAAATAATACATCATATCCCTAAAGCAGAAAGAGCTCAAAACTGCGATGTAAATCACAGAACAATTTATGTTAAAAGAAAAACTACATATAACAGGGGTGATTGTGAGACCAACTCAAAAATCCTGAAAATTTCTCTAGTAAAATCATTAATGACACATTTTAAAAAAATTAATGTTTTCATACATTTAAATCATTGATATTTTAAAAACGTGGAATTTTAGATAAATTATATGCAGCATAATTTAAATGAAAAATTATGTATAAGTTTACTTTTATGTCTAATTCTAAAAGAAATTTATTATTCTAAACATTTATTATTACATTTATTATTCTAAAATAAAAAATATTTACAAATGAAAGATTACAAATATTTAAAAATGAAAGTATAAATTCTAGTTCTAATATTATAGTTGTAATATTTCTAAGATTATAGTTGTAATATTTCTAAGATTATAGTTGTAATATTTCTAAGATTATAGTTGTAATATTTCTAAGATTATAGTTGTAATATTTCTAAGATTATAGTTGTAATATTTCTAAGATTATAGTTGTAATATTTCTAAGATTATAGTTGTAATATTTCTAAGATAAGAGAATTTTTAGACATAAATGTGATCAATGATTTCTTGAAACTTCTCTAGATCTTGGATTTCCGGAAACTTCCGGATCGCAATTAGCGAAAAATTCCGTAAACCAGATTTTTTCCGGAGCACAATCTCTGATATAAAGGTAAAAAGCCAAAATTATTAAATACCAGAAAATTTATGAACTCCATTGAAAATTCAATGATTATGTATTCTTTTTAAGTTTTACCCTACTTAATTGAACAAATTATTAATTTAAAAAAAAAAATTTAAAATTTCGAGAATGGTGTAACTTTTTATAAATTTTATATTTCCCGTATTGTGGAAAACACTACCTTGATGAAATCGAATAAAACTGCTTTAATTGAAACTGCATGTTCAATACATAATTCTAAGCAAATATTTATATTTTAGTTGTCAAAAATGTAGATAACTAAATTTTCAGATCAAAATGTATTATTTCGAACAGGAAATTGAAAAATAGTTTGTTTAATTCATTTGTAAATTAAATATTATTCTAAGTATTTAGTCGGAATTTTTTTTTTTTTCAAATACAGTTAACAAAAGCAGGATGCTATGTTAAATAATTATAAAAATGAAAAGATTCTTTTTTTTTTTCCATTAAAGATCTTAATTGAAAAATAAAACCAAAAAATATATCTTTAGAAATTCAGTATTCATAAAAATTTATTATCTTACTAACATTAAAGAAATTTGTTTTATTACAGTACATGCCGTGCATCCGTGATAGCACAGTAGTAAGGTACCAAACTGTTATTGTGAAGAACTGAGTCCCAGTGGTAGCATGAAACCCACCCAGCTTCATATTGATAGGTACCAGCCTATTTGGGAAGTAAAGGTGAGACTTATGAGCTTTAACCATCATGACCTCTATGATTTAAAACGGGCTACTGCTGAATTGCTTTACTTTTATATTTTAACCTTCTAAGTTAAGGAACATATTTGCAGTTACTTAATATTATACTCAATACTTAAATTTACCACTTTTGACAAAACTTACCTCTGAAAACTCAGGCACTGATTACATTTACCGAGCCCATTACAAAACTCAGTATTTATAATACCAAATCGCAAGTATACTTTTTTTTAAAGTAAATATTAATTAAAAACATTCAGAAAAAAGCAGTAAAACATTTAATATTTAAGAATAATCAATATGTATTTCATTTAGAATAAAATTAAGAAATAACTGTCATAAATAATTTTTAAACAACACCTATTTTTTAATAAATGCATTACAAAAAGTTAAAATTTCTAAATATTTTGGAATTTTAACTGTGTATTGCTCATAATTCAAAAAATTACCAATTTAAAATAAAAATTAAACTGAATAATATATTTCTTTTATATCAAGAATAAAAGTCTCAAAAATATTACTAAATATAAAAAAAAAAATCTTTTTCTTTTCTTTAAAAAATAAAATATGATCAATATTAAAAAGAAAAAAATTTAAAAAAGACAAATTTCTTACAAATAAAAAGGATATGAATATATATATATATATATATTTTTAAAAATTAGATAATTAGGATAAATAAATTTTACCTTACAAATTAAATTTATAAAATATAAATGAACACTTTTGGTTATATTTTGTAATGTGTAACCCCATTGTAAAACTCAGTATTTTTATACATTTAAAAGATAAATTCTGAAGCCATTTAAGGTTTTTCCCAAACTTAATGACTTTATCTGATTACATAAAAATACGGCCCATCCATTGGGATGTTAATAATTTTTGGAAATATTTTTTCTGTAACTATAATATATTAAGTTACAAGCTCGTTGAAGATATTTTTAATATTTTAAGAATTATAATTGAAACAAATGAAAGAATTACAAAAATGACTGAAAAGCACAAATACCTTGATCTAAGATATTCATCCAGATCAAGGATAATAACCTTTTTAAAGAACAATTTATAAACATTGTAACAACTGGGTATTTACCCAACCCACATTTATACTAAATACACACATTTCCCCCCCCAAGAGAGCGTAAAACCATACAATGGTGAGGAAAAACACTGATTTCAAGACAGACTACAAAGATTAATCTACTAGAGGTGAACAGCAACTTAACTTGAATTTAAAAATTTGACAAAAATATATGGCTATAACATATTTTAAAGAGAAGTACAATACAATGAAGAATATATCACGAAACATCAAACAGTCAATTTATAAAATTAATATGATGTGAGATAAGACATATAGACAACACAATATCAATAGTATAACAAAAATATGAGCAACTGGTTTATTTATATCCCATTACGATTATTATAAGGTCAATGCCAACATAATTTCAATAAAGGTAATCTATTATAATTTTAAAAAAAACAAACCCAAATTTGAAGCTATGACATTATATATTGGAGTGTGCTAGCCAAGTGTGTCAGACAACTTCACTACTTGGTGACAAAATGTTTGAACACACAAACACATACAAAACAGATCCCAATGTTAAAAAATATAAGAAATTCAGAAGACCATTATATTTTATATCACTTGATGTAATGTTACATATATTTTGTTCCATTATGTAAGCATTAAAACATAGTGATATTTTAAAAGGAAGCACCATGATTAGTAATTTTAGATCGCAAAATAAAATTATTTGTCCCTTAAAAAAATCATATTTATTCCATTAACAAGCTTTTCTGTTTTTGGTGAATACTCGCAGAACTGCAATTATCAGAAGTCTTGTAGCAGAACATAACATATAATTCTGCTTCTGATAATCATTCAAATGTTTTTTAGGGTAATTATTGAAATCCTCTTTTTTAATTTAAACTTTATTTTTTTTTGCAACTACTTTAGACTGATTTAAACAATATGCATCTTATAAATTGAAAACAATTACAGAAACCTCTGTATTGATATGCACAGAGCCACAATTAGATATTTGCATTTATTAGTTATTGAAGGCAAGATAAAAATAAATTTATGGCGCTTGTTGCATTAATTTTGCTACTGGGAGGGGAAAATGGTAATATTCTTATTACTATTTAGAATAGTCATTAATTTTATGCATATATGGATTACTTAGTATGATTTAGTTTAATAAATTTTAAAATTTAGGTAAAACTTCATTTCAGCCAATCTTATCTTTTTTTCATTTTGACTAATCTCTTGTTTACTTCCTCAGCCCTATTAAATTATACAGAATATTTAATAAAAAGAAATTTACTAACGTAATACTTTTACAATTCCATTTTTTTAATTTGGGAATTTTACTATTTTGGACACATTTTTATAAAATAGTTACTTCATTAAAAAAAAAAAATGTAATTTGCAAATTTTATTTAGATTTCATTATATTGATTTATTCATTAAAGAAATTTTTGGAAACAATAAATCAATGTAAAAAATATATTGAAATAATTTAGAAGAGATATACTTCCGTGTTACATAATTAAATTATTACATAGCTATAAATTTAACTTACAGCTCTATTTTCAAGATCTATTTTGTTGCCAATGACAACAAATGGGAAATTCTCAGGATTCCTGGGACCTGCTTGGATGAGAAACTCATCAAGCCAGCTGTCCAATGATCTAAAGGAGTTTGGGCTGGTGACATCATACACTAATACACAGCAGTCTGCACCTCGATAGAAAGCAACTCCCAATGATTGAAATCTTTCTTGGCCAGCAGTATCCCAGATCTAAAAATATACAAATATAATGTTCATAAAAATAAATAAAATTTAATACTTTTGATGCAAACATATATTAATTATAAACACAAAGTACAAAAATTATTTATAAATTACACATTAAACACTAAAGGAAGTTATAGAAATTTGAAAGTTAAAAATTCAATACTAGGAGAGGGGAATGTTACATTTTATAATGATATAAGTTCTAGAAGTCAACTTAATGGTGACAACTTCTATCTTTTATATTATACTCATGTTAACCCCTTAACTGCCGCAGGCATATATATACGCTTTCCCGAAGTACGATGCCTAGCATTGCGCTGCTATAAATAGAACTACACCCCCTACTTCAGAATGCAGTAAAATGACCTTGAAAGTGTTTGCTTTGCAAATGTATTACTAATTTCAGAGGAGGGGGAATGGGAAAAGGATGTTATGGAAAAGTGATATCGTATTAATCGCTTGTGTGTATTTGAGTAGGGTCGGGTTTATTCTTTTTTCGCTTTTGTTTCCCGTATGTATCTGGTGCTTTTTATTCTTTCCATCAACGTCTTCAAATAAAAATGCACCACGAAAATGTGCTGTTTTTTCAAGAAAAAAAATTCGCCGTGAATTCCGTTATCAGTGCGATGAATGTGATGTTGGTTTATGTGTCCAACCATGTTTCAGGATTTATCATACAACAGCTAAGTTTTAACATCTTTTATATTGTATTTTTATTATTTAATTTAAGTTTTGTATTTTCTTTGTTTCCTTGTCTTGTAAAAGTCAACTGTTTTTAAATTGCAAAGCGTGCATCATTTCCCCCCCACCAAAAGACTGCGTAAGAAAGTACACTTGAGCGAAAAACGGCGGCACTGGGGAGTGAGTCTCGTTAATTATACTCGGCAGTTAAGGGGTTAATATTTAAAAACATGAAGTGCTTTTGAGGAACAGTCAGTTAAGGCGTAGTTCACATCACTGGGTGAGAGAGCTGGGGGTTGTGAGTTTAATCCTGACAGCAGACTAAACAGGAAAGGAATTAATTTGCATAAATTATTCAAATACTAAATAAACAAAATTATATACTAGTTAAAAAGTGTGATTTGGTTGAGACTTAGAACTATTAAAGATAACTGTGTTGTAAAAACTTATTGAAGATTGTCTCAGTTATCAATTTGAATAAATTATCTTCCCTGAACCTTTTCATATTCAAATGAAAAACTTAGCTATCATTTGGCATAGCTGAGTGTTTCAAAATAAAAGAATTCTAATTACATTCCTTTAAAACTTTTATTTAGAGGTAATTGTCATTGTTTCTCATTGTAAATCCAATCCTTATCTAGAAATCCCCAAAAGAGTGCCATTATAATATGTTTAGAAAACATAATTCTATATGCCCTTACAAGTGCTGTTGCTTAAAAAATAAAACTAGTTTACTATATATAACTAACAAGTTTTAGTGCATATTTAGTAATTTTTACTTTGTTAAGTTATAAAAAATTTAAGAGTTACTTTCAAAAAAGTAACTCTTTAATTTCTAGTTTTATATAAACTTTATATTAATGTTTATAATTAACTTTAAATCATTAACTTAAAAGTCGATTTGAAGACATAGTAAGGATAATTAAAAAAAAATAAACTTAATTCATAACATCAGCGTAGTAAAGTCAGAACTATAGTATAATATAAACTATTTTTTAATAAAATTTTTATCCTTTAATTTAAATAAAAATAGTACAATCACTATATTTATAGATATAGCATTTCAAGCTCAAAAGTTTAAAAATTAACACTATTATATAAGGGTAAACAATTTTTATACATAATTCTTCTATGATTACAAACAAGGATAAATGTGCAGTACCTTGTGGCAGAATTTTTTGAGGCTTTCTGCGACAAACCTCTTTAGCACTTATGTCTTGTTACTAATTTAAAATAAAAAAAGGGTTGTGTTCACAAAAAATAAATAAAACTAAGAGACAAAATTGTTTGCATAAAATAAAATTTTATATAATTTTTTAAAATTGAATATGTAATATTTTTTCATTCTAATATTATGGGTAAGATTCTCCAATTTTGTAGGGGAAAAACACACTAATTATTTCCCCTTTAAAATTTTGTAACTCATCATCACATTAAAAAAAAAAAAATTGTCACTTCAATAATTACCAAAAAAAAGTACAAAGAAAAGATGACCGGCAAAATTATGAAAATCAGACTCTTCAAAAAGGGGTTTACTAAATGCTTGTTTCATTTCTAGATTTGGCAGTTGTAATAAAATATCTGATTTAAAAAAAATGGAAATTAGAAACAGACCTCAAAAAAATTGATAGAATCATTGAATTAAAAATTAAATATTCAAAAACAAGATTCAAATTTCATATATTGTCAGAAATAATAATCTAGGTATTTTTACAAAATCACGAGAATATGAATAACTTAGCAATGAAAGACTTTGGGAATTATAAAAAAACAAGCAAAAACTCGAAGCAATAATTGCCGAAAAAATGATCAAAACACTACATATATTTACGATTGAATAGCCCCAAGGTGCGCGAGACCCAAAGTGAAGACTCATATGAGTGATTTAAAATTTTCATGTGCATAATAAATTAAAAATAATGGATCAATTTTATATCTATTAAATTTAGAAAAAGAGGGGGAAATGTACCGTATAGATTCACATTTTCTTTTACCCTCTAATACAGGAGAAAAGTATCTCTTGAATATAATTCTGGAGAAAAAAATAATAAGCTTTTGAAAATTTCTGCGGAAAAGCAAAGCAAAATTCCTTGCTTCCCAATGGAAATGTTTTTGTTCTTGCAAGAACCCTAATATTCCGCGATAATGTTACCGTGTCACTGCGATTCTGCCACAGGGCACAGATATATATAAATAATTGTAAGAGAAAAGGCATAACAACATTATCTAAAACCTTCTCTTCATAATTGAATAAATATATTTTTTAAAACATATGCCTGGATTTTTTAGATTTTTTTTTTTAAATATCACGGTGGTTAGTCATAATCAAAAATATTCTTGATATACACTATAGTTAATGAAATAACTTAAGAATAGAAATTTTTAGAATAGAAAGTTATTTTTTAGACCGGCAAAAAATAGAAAAAAAATTCACCCATAGAACTTCTAGTTTTTGTACCGTTTCAAAACTAGAGAATAATTTCTTCAAAATCTATATCTATAGTTTGACAGTAGGTTATAAAATAAATCAAAGAGTTAAAAGTGGGAGAAAAATTACTCTATCACTAAAATGATAAATCTTTTAGTACTTCAACAGGAAAAATTTGATATAGATTTTAAACTCTTCCCTTATGTGTAATAATAGAAAACAAAAACACTTTCTATTTCTCTCCTTACCATAATTTATTGGAATAAGATTATGAAGTCAAGTCTACAAAATCAAGTTTTTTTTTTAAAAAAAGAATGTGGTACATATTCATTAAATTTTTCTCTTATTTTGAAGAATTATTTTTTAAAATATACACATATAACAGTATAAGAGGGTATAAAAATTGCTGAGGATCCAATTCAGTTATTACATAATACTACACATTAATATTTCTTTTCAGATGTTAAATGAGTGCACTACCATGTCGAAATGCACCTTTCAGAGAAGAGCCCTGCCCTTTTTTTATTCCTAGGAAGAACTCTGTTTTTACTATTTACAGAAGACTTGTTTTTACTTAATTTAGTTATTTTAAGGAAATTGTTTTGTTTTCCATGAAAAAACTGCTCTATGGAGCCAGAACCTTGCATAAAAACTATGGGAGATACATCAATGCAGAGCTATAATCATTTTTCTCACACTCTTACAGTGACCCCCATCCCCCCCAAGCTCTTGGGCGCATTCTTGGGCTAATTCTAAATTCCTCCCCAAACTGTTCGTTTTATTTAGTGTAAAAATCCCCCCCAAGCTTTAAGTGGGCGCACCGTGCGCCCACCTCCCCCCCTGGTGGGGGCCCCTGCACTCTTAGTTCTTTGACTTATCACCTTATAGTCAAAATGTAACTATGTGTTTTATTAAACATGTAATTACAAAAATGGAAAAATTAACTAGTTTTTCCCACATGCCCTCAAAGGTTTTCTATTTTGAAGAGGAAAAGGGATTTGTACTCAGCACTTAAAAAATTAATAATAAATAAAGAAAAAGTGTATCTTAAATTGGAAGGTATAATATTAAAAAAAAAAAAGTTAAAGATATTCTACAAGAGATGATAAAAGTATAATAATGTATTTTTCTAAGATGTGTCTTATCAGAATTATTTGTCAAGATGTTATTTATTTACCAGAAATTCATATATTTTAAGTAAAATTAATAGGAGATTTTAATTAGATGACTTACTTATCATCTAGCCCCAGATTTCTCTTTTTAAACTTTTCATTATTTATATTTAACAGCATATAAAAATTATATAAACAGTAGCAAAATTGTTAATTGTAGAAAAAAAAAAAAAACCTATTATACCATAACATAGGGGTGAAAGTAGGTTTTTATAAGTTATAACATAAGTAGGTTTTCATAAGTTGTACAGTTTTAACAGTCAAAAAACTAATTTTTGTCAATATCCCTCCTTCCAATGCTGTGCCTATTTTTTTTAGTTCATTCCTAGTTTGTATGACCTAATATTTAAGCTGAATACCATAAGAATATGAATACCAAAGACATTGATTTATATACACATAATTACTGCAACATTAAAAATGAAAATATTACATAAAAACTCAAAGATATAAAATTAATTGAATTTTGTAATAAAGTGAGGAATGATTAATAAAATAATTAAAAAATTATACAAACAAACAAATCATTTTTTGCAAAAGAACACAATATGTGCTTTTGCAAAGGGTGGGTTAATTGTTTGATAAGTACAAAATTTCATTTCAATTATTTATCAAATTCAAATCAATCATACCAAATTCAATAATTTATTAAAAACATGAAGAATTTTTTTTTAATAATCCAAACTAATAATTGTAATACATTTAAAACAATTCTTTCAATGAAAGACTTCAATTTATTTCTATAATATTCATGCTAAATTAGAAATATTGCACAAATCTATTAAGAAACACTGCTTTGTAAATAACAAAATAAACAGAAGACAGGAGGAGTATGATTGTCAATGTCCTTGAGCTCTGTTTAAATTGGTAAAATGAAAGCATAATTTCCTGTGAGGTTGATATCACAAAGGATTGATATTCATTGTTTCCACATGAGTAAACCACAATATTAGTCATAAACTCATGATGATAGATCACACAAAGTGATTTTTAAATATTTATTATCTCATAATATAAAGCTCACTAATACAATTGTTTTTTTACTGAACAAATATTTCAAATATTTTGAATTAAAATATAATTAGCTAATATGTATTAATTTCTTGAATTAAAATGAAACTTGCTATTTTAAGTCAAAACTTTAAACCTACTTTAGTTTACCCCTTCTACAAACATACAATATTCCAAGTCAATATTTAATTCGCTGTTAATTTAAAAAAAAAATCTAAATACTGAAATAAGAAAAAGGTAAATTTTTCCCTAATTAAAGTAATACAGTAAATTTTTCCTTAATTAAAGTAATACAATAAAGTAATTACATTGAAATGGCCTAATTTCAAGCAAATTTAATATTTAAAAACTGATAGATTTTTATAAATTATGTAAATTGATATTATTTACAGTTTAAACACTACAAACTGTCTCAATAATTAAAAAATGTTATATTCATAAATCAAAAATTAACAAATTGTAAGGAAATTTTGATTATTAAAAGCATAATATTTTTATATCGTTCAAAAAATAATAACAAGATTATATTAACTTCACTCAACAATGTATCAGAAGAACAAATACTTCACTTTTCCAAACAAATTAAAAAATAAGTTGAATGCATTTAGATTTATATATTAAGTTACATAATATAAGAATTAAAGCTAAATTATCAAGTTGATTTATCTTCAATTGTTAGGAAGTTTTTGTTTATATGAAAATAAACAGTTATTTTTTATTGAAGTAAAATCTATTGATCTAGTACAGTAAAATTAAGAAAAAAAGAAGGTTATTTTAAACACGCCTATCTACATAAGACTCGATGGGTTTTTTTTTTCTAAATTTGTCCACTTTGGCTAACACTTGAATGGCAGCACCACTCATTGGTGAGGCCACAATTTAGACATAGATCTGAAGGGTAATGAATTTTTCTTGAGAATACCATGGCACTGCTCAGCAGCCAAACACATGAATTCTGATTCCCAGATTTTACAAGCATGTGCATCACGTATACTCAGTGGATCTTAGTCAGCAGCTTTCAAAGATTTAACCCCAGTCCCTTCTGAACGAAGTCCAATGCTCTAGCCACTGGGCTACCACGACTTACATTTATTTAATTAATTATGTAATTTCATAATATCTGAATGATCTGATTTTTTACCAACTTTTCATTACCTTTAAAAAATTAAGATAGCCTTTCAATCTTAAGTTGCACTTACTTGCATAGTAACCAGCCTATCTTGTACTACCAACTCTCTGGTAAGAAAATCTGCTCCAATCGTAGCTTTATACTGATTGCTGAATTTTTTGTTCACATACTGGTTCATAAGAGATGTCTTTCCAACACCTGAGTCTCCAAGAATAATAACTTTCAAAAGTACCTTCTTTCTTGAAGTCATATTTATTAAATTATATTGCTGAAAAGTAATAAACAGTTAAAACAGAACAGTAAAAATGAAAAATATGTTTCAAAAATATACTTGACAATTTATGCATCAAATTTTACTTCTCATTATAATGTAGTAATTTATATTCTGCATACACAAATCACTACTATAAATGGCCAGGTAAAACATAACATAATTTACTTTCACTAAAATAAGCTTTTCATTTCACATTTTAAAGCTTTTTATATCAATTAGTTTTCAAAGATAAGACTAGGCTCTAAGATAAAATTATTAATAAATTATTTTAAATCAAATATATATATAGTGAAAATTATCACTGCTTTTCTTAGTCAGTCTGGTGGTGCACAACTTGCCCCTCGCTTTCTGTCCAAAAATAATTTGAAACATTTATAAAAGAAAATACTAATTTAAATAAATTCTAAAAAATATAACCTAAAATAAAAACATTCAAATTCATTGAAAGTAAAATTATTGTCAAAAGAGTTTATCATTTAAACTTGTTCATTTTAATTAAATAATAGAATGCATCATTGATATTTCACTTAAATACACAAATTAATGTATATACTCAATCTGTTTTGTTTGGTCTTCAAATTTTTAAGAATCAAAACATTTAATTACAGAATTACAATAACTAAGGAACAAAATAAAAACAGAATAGAACTATAGTAAAAACAGAATAGTACAATAAATAAATTAATTTGCAATACATTCCTAAAGTAAGTAATTAAAAAAAATTTCTATATTCCCTAAATCAAAACTTTATCTAAGTTCTATTTTTTGGTTTTTATCATATTTTCTTATTTAAAAAAATTATAAATACAATTTTTTTAATTTAGTATTCTTAAATACATTTTTATGTTCAGATAAAACAAAACTAAGTAAATATAGTAACTAACTATATATATATAAAGCATTCAAATTTTTTCACATAAAGTACAAAACAAAATAGCCTCTAAGTTTCATAAACTTATGCATAAGGTGAAACTATGGAGAAGTCTTAGTAATTAACAAATAAAGTTGACAAGAATAGTCAGTTATGATTAAAAAAAAAACAAGTATTTGCACTAAATATGAAAGCTTAACAACCTGATAAGAAAATTTATCAAAAACTTTTTAGGTTAACATTTTACAAGGTCAAACATTTTGATAAAATTCCGAACTACAAATGAAATTTTCAGACAATTGAAAAAAAAAAAAAAAAAGCTTTACTAAATTAACTAACAAACTTACATTTATAAAGCTAAACTATTTTCAATATTAAGAGATACTTAGTTGTTTAGATAAAATGTTGAAATACAACTAAAAAAAATATTTGAAACAAATATCAAACAAGCAAATGCTGGAAGAAATTGTCTGAAATTTCGGTTCGATAGTTTCAATTTCGAGTGTAAAAATTTGTTCTTAAACGAGTTTGGTTATAGTGATTACTTTTTTGAACATAGATTAATAATTTTAATACATGAAAGAATGAAATACATGAATAATTTTAATACATATTTACTACAAAATCATGTGAATCTGATGCACCAAAAAGGATTTAATCAAATGCACATTTATGAATTGATTTCACCGAAATTTCCATTATCTAATCAGAACTTCTGAAATCAAAGAAGTCAAACAAAAAATACTGATAGAGATAAAGAGAATGATTAAAAAAAACTTTTAAACTAAAATTTGTTAAAACTATTTGCAACATCCAACTTTATTTAGTAATTTGATCGTACTATTACTGAATCTTATACCCATATTTCAATACTGAATTCAAAGGGAAAAAAATAAATTTAAAAAATTTATTAAGCTATTTGTTATCAGAAACATAACCCTATTTTGGTAAACACAGCAACAAAAACCAAGTTTATATTACAGTTTACTTATAAAATATATGAATTACTTTTGTTTAAATTAATCTAAAATAACTTCAATTTTAGTACAAATTTTGAAGAACATACAAACTAAGCTTTATAATAAACAACGCAAGAAATTCGCATTGAATAGAAGTCAAGGGTATGGTGAAATAAATGGACAAAATTTGATTTTAATTTTAAATTAATCACTACAAAACGAAGTATAATAAATTATAGAACATTAGCAATTTAATGCAACACAATTCATTGTACACATAAGGTTCATTACGTCACTCTTACTCTAAAAGATACCTATTATGTTACGGTTCAATAGTCAGGGCAATGACAATTCCTTCAATAAATAAAGTAAATAACTAGAATATTTCACATAAAATTAAAATATTATTAATAGTAGGGAATGCTTAGGGCATTAATTGAATTAAAAGGCATTTTTCCTCTACGAAAATTGAATACCTACATACGAACAAAGACTTCAAAGTTGAGGACAAAATATTTTTTTCTTTCAATTCAGATCTCCGTGATTCATAAACTCATTTCCTGCTAAAAATTTAACAAATATTTTTATAAAGTAAAGTAACTAACAGAGCATAATTAATACGTAGTCAATCAAATCACAAAAGAAAAGAAAGGTTGACAAGTAATTATCGATTGACTCCCTCTATATCACGTGATATATTTATTTATTTAACTTGACATCCCTCGTGCCATTACGGTGGAGAGTATATTTTACAAGTTTGAAATTTAAAGGAAGATTCAAACACAATTAAGCTTTCCTCTTCCATAAATAAGAGATACGATAAGTTTATAAATATACAATTTAATAAAATAATTATTATATCACTGTAGAGTCAGACAAATTTAACATTCTGACTGGAATCGCGCACATTTAAACACGGGGATATGCTGATCTTTGATTGGTTTGAATCACGTGAATTATATGAGGATTCACGTGTACTCTACATCCAATCATTTAAATTGACATTCGAAACATTTATATCTATAACCGTTACTTGTCTTCGCGCAAAAACGTATGTAAATAGTGAGAAGAGGGTTCCAAAAAAATTAAAAATAGCTGAAAATTTAGATTTTCAATATGTTATATGTATAAAATAAAATATATTAGTTAAAAATTTAACAAAATATTTTGAAATGACTTCATTGGTTGCTGAATTACTTCAGGCTACTGGTAAAACTTTAGAATTGTGTCTTGTTTTCTTTCTTCTCACTTCAAATATTTGAAAAGAAGTTTAATACTGAAAATTACTTGCTCACAGTTCAAAAGTTTTAGCTTTAATAAACTTTGCATTAGGGGGAATTTAATAATTATCAAAGTGCTGGTTTGTAACTTGTTTTATAAACTATGTATTATAAATTATAAAGTTTTTTTTATTTTATTTTGTTATAATACATTTTGATTTTTATGAACATGACCCCTGTGTCCCCCATTTTCAAATCAAATCGGCGCTCATGCTACAACATATATTTACTGCCAAACTTCATGTTTCGGACACTCAACATAAACTAAACTAAAGCTATAAAACTAATGCCTCTCATTGCGAGCATTTTTTTTAATTCCCCTTGAATCTTCTATGAAAACACCATTATGTGTCCTATCCGCAAAGCGAACAGTCATTTATGTCTCAAAACCTTTTGACTTTTCAAACCCGACACCACTTTTTCTAAATTTAAAAAAAATTTAATTTTACGATCAATTTTAAAAAAATGCATCTTTCTACCATTTTTCAAAGCATGTACATTTGTTGCCTTATCCATAACTAAGAACATTAAGCTATTTCAGTTCTAAAGAATTTTTCATTCTCCCGTCATCTTTCTTTATCTTTTCGAATTTAGCAAGAAAGAAGAGAAAATGATACTGCAAATGTAAAATATTTTGTACAGCGGTATCTTTGGGTCTTTTCTTCTGGTTGACACAGTTGTGACCCCACATGCTCAGTCTTAAGACCCTATTAGTTTAAGTGACGCATTAAATCATATCAGCTACTCTTTCCCATTGAAATTTCCTTTCTACTTCTAATCAGTTTGATCAGTCATAGCCAGGGCCGGATTTACGTATAAGCTAAATAAGCTGTAGCTTGGGGCCCCGAGATGACAAGGGCCCCCAGATCCTACTATCCCCCCTCTTTTTTTAAAGTTTTAATCGGAGCTGGGGCTCTCAGAACCCCAAAATGCATTTTTTTCTTCTTTTTTACATTGACATAATAAATATAAATAAATGACTGAATAAAACAAAAAACTTCGTTGTCATTAGTAGGGAACATATCATCTTTCAAGCAATTTGAGAATTAATAAATTATTTAGAAATAAAGAATTTTTTAGTTTAAAAGGTAATAAAAATATAAGCCAAAAATTTAAATGACTATTTTTTTTCTTGCACTAAAATTTAACAAAAGTACTTAAAATAATTAAAAAGAAAGCAAAAATAATGAAGAAATATTTTCAATATATACATCAATTAAATAATATCAGCTTACGAAATGTTCCTTTTATTTTTTCAAACAGTATTAATATAACGACCCTCACCTGTTCCAGGGACTGCTGGATTTTATTCAAAATTACAAGGCTTCGGAGTTGAATATTAGTAGTCGTAAACTCGAAATTGGGTCGGCTGTGCAATGACTGTTATAAAATGAACTAATAAATTTGGCCGGGATAGCCTGGTTGATAGGGCATTGGACTTGTGTTCGTGAGAATGGGAGTTTGAATCCAGCCGGTAGAAGAATACCCATGTATAAAATGGTGACTGGTGCATGTTAAATTTGTCGGGGTCACAAAGTCCTCCAAGTTCTCGGAACAAATGAATACCTCTGGGTACTAATCTATCAGTTCCCTTGTCTTCTGGATTGGGTTCAAAATGACAAGGCTACGGAGTTGAATATTAGTAGTCGTAAACTTGAAATCGGGTCGGCTGTGCAATGACTGTTATAAAATGAACTAATAAATTTGGCCGGGACAGCCTGGTTGATAGGGCATTGAACTTGAGTTCGTGAGAATGGGAGTTTGAATCCAGCCTGCAGAAGAATACCCATGTATAAAATGGTGACTGGTGCATGTTAAATCTGTCAGGGTCACAAAGTCCTCCAAGTTCTCGTAACAAATGAATACCTCTGGGTACTAATCTATCAGTTCCCTTGTCTTCTGGATTGGGTTCAAAATGACAAGGCTACGGAGTTGAATATTAGTAGTCGTAAACTCGAAATCGGTTCAGCTGTGCAATGACTGTTATAAAATAAACTAATAAATTTGGCCGGGATAGCCTGGTTGATAGGGTGTAAACTCAAAATTGAGTCGGTTGTTCAACAGCGGTTATAAGAAAAATAAAACTAATAATCAAATTGTCTTTTCTTGTTTTCTTTCTAACCCTTTGCATATTTTCTACGCACAATCAAAATTTCATATTTCTAAGTCTTATAGATTTTGTAACATAAGGAAAAAACAATTGAGAAAAAAATTCGCGAAAATAGTATTAAAAATTGCAAATAAAATATATTTAAAATGAATCTAAAAAAGAAACTCTGTTAAATATATAGTGGCCAATTATTAAAAATTGCAAATAAAATATATTTAAAATGAATCTAAAAAAAAACTCTGTTAAATATATAATGGCCCAGCACGCCAAATTTTTACTCTGCGCTTAAAATGTGTTTCTTTTGTAAGTTTTTATCCTCGTTCAAAAAATATGTGCAATAAAAGAAAAGTTCTACATAACAGTCTCATCCCAATAAATATATATTTAACAATAAAGTAATATTATCAAATTTTTTAATAATATAATCTTAATACTCAACAATAAAAAATAGTGACAGTTTACTTTAGGTGTATAGAAATGGAATTGAACTTATAAGGGCCCCATCATTTTCAGTAGCTTAGGGCCCCACCAAGCTTAAATCCGGCCCTGATATCATTCAAACTAGAAATTACTTAAAATCAAAAAATTTGAACTAATTTTTCTTGTAAGTTGGTCAGATAAAAAGCTTTATTGAGTGAGAATGTTACAGGGAACGAATAAATCATATGTAGTAAATTTTTATTTGCCAATTAACTTTGCAATTGTAAAAATGTGAACTATTTGCAGTAATAAAAAATATAGCTTATTATAAAAAATAAATAATATTGCTGTAATGTATAAATTATAATCTGAATGAAACTTTGTGATTCTCATTTTGGTATTCATTAGTTTCGGATAATTTTATTTTATTTAGGTATATAATTTAGTAAAAATAACAGATTTGATGTAATATATTTGCTGAAAATATTGCAATATTTTATTTTTGGCTTGCAATCCCTGTTTTTATGTACTAGTACTTTTTCAACATGGAAAGGCTGTCATTTTAAATTAA